CCTCTGCCCTGCACCTTGCCCCTCGCCCCCACCTGACTGTGCTAGACACCAGCTCTTAGCAAATCCACAACGCAGCCTGGGTGCAAACTTGACCTCGCCTGCCCAGTCGAAATGCCTAGTCGCAACCCGAGAGGATGTGACCTCCTTTTTTTTTTTCAGCCCGAGATTTGCCCTTTCGTGCCCACCCACCCCCCAAAAATAAAAATGTGGTAAGAGCCCCCAATGAAAGGATAACATTTTGTGGATGGGGCCTATAGAACAGGAGCTTTCAAATGTAAGACCCTCAAATCATGGAAGGGGCTGCTGGTGGGCCCTCGGCTCATTTCTCCTCTGGCTATACAGAGTAGGGGGCCTGTCATCCCTGGTGAGGCCTGTGGAAAGTGCAAACTCCAGCTTCGTGCCCCCAAGTTGATGCCACTTGGAGCGACCCTGTGTGCTACAGGGCAGAACTGCTCCCTCGGGTTTTCTTAGCAGATCACCCGGCCTTTCTTCCTCAGTCCACTGGGCGACTTCCAAGGCCAACCTTTCGGTTAATACAAAAGCAGACCCACTGCCGTTGGGGCAGTTCTGACTCTTGGCCACCCTGGGGGACAGGGGAGACCTGCCCCTGTGGTTTCTGAGACTAGAAATCTGTCCGGGAGCAGACAGCCCCAGCAGCTCAAGCTTCGTGAGCCTGTGGGAGAAGACGTCTCCTCCTGGGAGCCTGGGCTGAGGGCTGAGACCGGAATAATATTAGGGAAAGAAAGTGGTGCCAATGGATAATGAGAAGCCATTAACCCTATGGTTCCAAAAAGGTCACATGGAGGTCACACCGAGACAGCTAGAATTCAGACTTGGGCACTTTGACCCTAAAGCCTCACCCTCTTCATCTGCCCGGCTCTTGACCTTTGTCATCCTCCCTACCCCCAGGATCGGTTTTGCCATCGCGAGGCGACTGGCCCAGGATGGTGCCCACGTGGTGGTCAGCAGCCGGAAGCAGCAGAATGTGGACCGGGCCGTGGCTACACTGCAGAGGGAGGGGTTGAATGTGACCGGTACTGTGTGCCACGTGGGGAAGGCCGAGGACCGAGAGCGGCTGGTGGCCACGGTAGGTGGCGGTGATGTGAGTGCAAGGCCAGGTAGGAGGTGACAGAGGGGAGCCCACCAGAGCCACCTTCCCTGCTTTTCTGCGTGCCCACGCCGGTCAGGCAGCACATTTTCATAGTGTACCTTTGCTGTATCCATATCCGAAAGGCCCAGAATCATCCCATTCCAGAGAATGAAAACCTTGGGGCGCACGCAATAACAGGTAGCCCTTCTTCATTTCTATGGGGACAGGTAAGAAGGGCAAATGCAGTTACCAAAAACGGACATTGTCACCCATGAGTTCATAAACAATCCCCTGTCCAGATGCAGGGCTCTGTGGCACAGTGGTTTAGCACTAGGCTGCTCAGTGAAAGGAGAGCGATTCAGACCCACCAGCGACTCAGTGGGAAAAAGATGTGGTGATCAGCTTACTTAAAAAATTCTCAGCTCAGTGCCCTTGAGTCCATGCCAACTCATAGCAACCCTGTCGACAGGGTAGAACTGCCCCCTGTGAGTTTCTGAGACTGTAACTGTTTATGGGAATAGAAAGCCTGGTCCTTCTCCCACCACAGAGCGGCTGGTAGTTTCAAACTGCTGGCCTTTTGAATTGCAGCCCAGCATGTAACCACAGTGCCACCTCGGAAACCCACGGCGTCCGTTCTCCCCTGTCCAATGCAGTGGCTATGAGTTGGGATCCAGTTGATGGCAACAGATGGGGTTCTGCAGGTGGCTGAATAGCACCTTGAAGAACCGACAGGAGGCAGCCCACCATGTGTCGACCACCTGATGTGTGCCATAGGCACCCTCGTGGCGTCATAGGTTTGAAACCACCAGCCACCCCACAAGAAAAAGATGAGGCTTTCTGCTCCTGTACAGATTGACAGCCTCGGGAACCCACAGAGGCCGTTCCACGCTGCCTCACAGGGTCACTGTGAGTCAGAATGGACGCAAAGGCGGTAGCTTTGACTGCGTGCCGAGTACTGGGTTCTGAGCACTGGCGTGAGTTTTTTCTAACGACAACCCAGCAAAGCAGGGACTAGTTCCCCTGCTTACTGAACCGGGCTGGTTAGCTGGAGTAACTTCCCATGGGCCCACAGCCAGAAAGGAAAGAGAGAGGAGTCAGCCTGTACCTGTTGATGTCAGGTGGGTTCCGACTCATAGCACCCCCGTGTACATCAGAATGCAACACCCCGATTCTGCACCACCCTCCCCTCTCCTGTCCTTTGTCAGCTGCCATTAGACTACCAAGCAGTCCTTGTTAGCACAGAGCCAGGTCTTAGGTGTCCGCTTGGACCTTCGTCCCAATGAAAATGTCTAAGCCCTTATGAGAGGTGGTGTTTGACAGCAGCCTTCAGCTGCACAAGGAAACATGAACCTCAGACAGCGGGAACCCCGTTGCCCCCAAACTCTGGACACACGCTGTATTCTTCACATTGGAAGAGAGAATCACCCCAAGAATGAGACGTATTAACAGACTGAACGATTGGCAGAAAGAATGTGGGTTATAGCAGGAGAAGACAGTCCTCCGCAGTTTGGAGCTGGGGAGACTGTGGTACGGTAGACAGTATGAGATTATTCCATTTTTAAGGAAAATGCTCAAATGTGCACTGGAAAGAGCCAGGCGTGCATCCAGGAAGACCCCCTGGAATCGGAGGCTGAGACCTTGATCTCCAGGATGGAGGGAGTCATTTGGGAGCCAGGGTCACTTAGGGGCTTGCCACTGAAATGCACGGGGCACCTTAGTAGCAAAATCCTGATGAGAATCAGCCGCCTCTCCCGAAGCTTACCAGGTCCACTTTGGCTTTCCTGCAGCCTTAGGCCAGGAGGGGGCCTTAAGCTAGATTTTGAGGAGTAAGGGGGGCTGGAGGAAGGGCTGGGGTTCCAGATGACCCTGCCAAATGAGCAGCCAGTCAAAGGGGGAGTGAGGGGTGCAGAGAGCCCAGGCTCAGGAGTACTGGCAGGAAACGGTTGGGTCAGGAAGGGGCACTTCCAAAACCTCCCAGTCGAATTTATATTTTCTTCTAGGAGACGTGAGGAGTTGAGCAAGATGAAGTGGTTATTAAGGAAGAATCATTGGGCCCTGGTAGGAAGGATAGAGTACCTGGATGGTGCAAGTGGTTAACACGCTCAGCTGCAAGCTACAAGTTGGAAGTTCAAGTCCACACAGACACCTCACAAGAGAGGCCTAGTGACCTTTTTGAACGTCAGCACAGCTCTCCTCTGAATATACACAGGGTCTCCATGAATCAGAATTGACTGGAGGGAAGCTGGTTAACTAGTGGGAAGAGCATATTGGAGTAGACAAGACTCAGAGCCAAGGAGATGAGCTTGGAAGCTGTTGCTATGATACAGGTCCAGAACAGTGGTGGTGAGACCAGGACGGAAATGCCAGCTGCAAAGATATTAGGCAGGAATCAACCAAGATTTGTCTAATCCAATATCAGAAGACAGAACACCAGATCAGCTGTAGAATGACAATAAGAACATCATATATGAAGAAATAAAAAGGTCCTAAAAACATAAGGAAGAAGGAAAAGATCAAAGTAGATGTCAGAAGAGACTCTGAAATTTACTCTTAACAGAGCAGCCAAGGCTGCTGTACCAAAAAGAACTGGTCCACCATTTCAGGAGGTAGCAAACGAGCAAGAAAAGATGTACTGAAGGAAGAAGTTCACGCTGCACTGAAAGCATGAGTCAAAAACAAGGCTCCAGGAATTGATGGAATACTAATTGAAATGTTTCAACAAGCTGATGAAACACTGGAGGCACTCATTCATGTACGCCAAGAAATTTGGAAGATAGCTACTTGGCCAATTGACTAGAAGAGATCAATATTTATACCTATTCCAGAGAAAGGTGACCCAACAATACAAAAATTATCAAACAAAATCATATCATAATCCGTGCAAGTAAAATTTTGATGAAGATCATCCAAGAATGGTTGTAACAGTACAGGAAGAGGCCGGGTTCAGAAGAGGGCGTGGAACAAGGGATATCATTGCTGATGTCAGATGGATCTTGGGTGAAAGCTGAGAATGCCAGAAAGATGTTTACCTGTGTTTTGACTAGGTAAGGCATTCACCTGTATTGACCACACCAAACTACGGGCAGCCTTGAGAAGAATGGGAATTCCAGAACACATCATTGTGCTCATGCAGAACCTGTACATGGATCAAGAGGCAATTGTGCTATCAAAACAAAGGACTAATGTGTGGTTCAAAATCAAGGGAGGTGTGTGTCAGGGTTGTATCTTCACCATACTTATTTGATCTGTATGCTGAGCAAGTGATCAGGAAGCTGGATTGTATGAAAAAGATTGTGGCATCAGGATTGGAGGAAGACTTATTAACAACCTGGAATCCGTAGATGGCACATCCTTGCTTGCTCAGAGTGAGGAGGCCTTGAAGCACATGCTGGTGAAGATCAGGGATTGCAGCCTTCAGTATGGATTACAGCTCAATGTAAAGAAAACCTCACAACTGGACCAATAGAAGGAACAAGGATACACGGAGAAAAGGTTGAAGCTGTCAAGGATTTTGTCTTGCTTGGATCTCCAATCAGTATTCACGGGAGCAGCAGTCAAGAGATCAAATGATGCATTGCATTGAGCAGATCTGCTGCACGAGACCTCTTTACAGTGTCGAAAAGCAAGGATGTTACTTTGAGGACTAAGATGCCCCTGGCTTCGATGTATTTGAATGGTGGTGCTGGCAAAGAATACTGAAAGCACCACAGAGGGCCAAAAGGACAAAGAACTTGGCCGTGGCAGGAGTACAGCCAGAATGCTCCTTAAATGCAAGGATGGTGAGACTTCGTCTCATGTACTTTGGACATGTCATCAGGAGAGACCAGTCCCCAGAGAAGGACATCATCCTCGGTAAAGTAGAGGGCAGTGAAAAATAGGAAGATAAGATGGCTTACACAGTGGCTGCAACCGCGGGCTCAGGCAGAAGAACATTTGTGAGGATGGCGTAGGACGGGGCAGTGTTTCCTTGCCTCATGCAGAGGGCCGCTGTGGTCGGCAGCAAGGCGGTGGCACCCAACAGCCACAGTATCAAGAAGTGAGAAGTAAAGGGAGGATTCCAACATGGCCAGATGGCGCACAGATAGTTTGTGTGACCGGTGTCAGTCAGGGTGGAGAGTGAGGGCCTTTGGCAGTGGGACAGCCAGCCCTCTGTGTGCCGCTCCGTGCACCGGCAATGAGGAAAGCTGCTGTCTCGAGACTGGTTACTGCATGGGCCCTAATCTCTGCCACGGCTTCTCAGGGGTACAGTGAACAGAAACTGTATCAGCCATTTCTCCACTCGATAATACAACCAAAACCAGGCCCGCTGCCCCCGAGTCAGCCATGTGCCACCGAGCGGAACTGATCAATAGGGTTGTCTCAGCTATAATCTTTACAGAAATAAGTCACCGGGCCTTGCTTCCATAGTCCCACTGGGTGGGTTCCAACCACCACCCAGTAGCGAAGTAGCTGAGTGTTGTAACCACTTGCACCACCTGTACTACTTCTTCTAAAAATAATATTTATATATATATATATACATACATATATACATATCTCTCCAAACACAAAGCAAACCACTCTTCATTGCTACAGTACAATCCTTACACAATTAAGAACAAGACATAGGAGACGCCTTCAGCACCTTTCTCACTGGTCTATCGTTTCCGGTCTCTGGTCAGTCGAGGTCACCCTTCTCCCCACTCTCCGTGCAAAGCCCTCTAGGTGATTCTGGCGCTGCCCACCCTCTCCCCTCCACCTCCAAACACACACACAGCACAGCACATCCGTCTCTGGCTTCATCTGCACCTTCCCGAGCAGAAGCCAGTCTTGTGCAGAGCCAAGGCAGGTAGTGGAGTCTTGGTCCCCAGGCACCCAAACCGAGGGTAAAACAGCGTCACTACTGGTTTTACAGGCGTATGTGGTGGTAAATGCGGTCCAGTTTACATGGCGGTGGCTCGGGCATTTCCTCAGCAGCATGGAAACGACTGAACCTAGCACCTAGTTAGCGAGAATAATTCATTACCGAGGGAAGCTAACAGATGGTGCACGCACACTGTGAGTGCCACCCTCTGTGCGCCAGATCAGGAAGCGCCTTGTGGACTGAGGGCCATATAGCGCCATGTGCCCAAGGCACCCAAACGACCACTTCTGGGATAACATGCAAGGTCCGGTGTCCAGGTAGGTTTGGATTGAAGACTCGCTGGGAGCAGAGTGATTGGCCAATCACTTCTCCAGGAAACCCATGCCTTCACCACCCACGTACAGGTTACGAAGGAGGTGAGAGGTTACGCTCTTGTCTTTCCCAGTTTAAATCGCAGTCCGACCTTGTGTCCTCCATGTGTTCTGACTGAAAGGGAAAGGTGGAGAAAATGGCAGTGTCCCTAAGTAGCAGACTGCGCTGAAGCCAGGCGGAATCCTCGCTCCCCTGGTCCACCTGGGCAGCCAGCTTCCTATAGAGGACTCTCGCGAGCAGGGGTCCTCAAACTTTTTAAACAGGGGGCCAGTTCACTGTCCCTCAGACCCGTTGGAGGGCCGGACTATAGTTTTAAAAAAAAAAACTATGAACAAATTCCTATGCACACTGCACATATCTTATTTTGAAGTAAAAAAACAAACAGGACAAAAACACCCAGTGGGCGGGGTAAATGTCCTCAGCGGGCCGCATGTGGCCCACGGCATGTGGCCCACAGCGTAGTTTGAGGACCCTTGCTCATGAGTCAGACATCCCTCTCTGTATGATTATCCCTCCCTGCATGTTGTGCAGCCTGCTTTCTGTCTTGAGCCAACACACAGAATGCCGCGCCCCCTTCTCCCAGAACAGCATGTTGAAACTACTTCAACCAAACATGGCTGTTTGTTTGCTGTGATAGAAAAACCTTAGCACTGGAAAGTAGACCAGCAAGGCTCTCTCCTCAGTGCTGCCCCACTCACTAGCTTTGTGCCCTGAATTAGTTGGTTCCCTCTCCCAGCATAGAATGAGCAGAACTCCTGCTCTTTGCTGACGCTTATGAATCGTTACTGAGCTACGGCTTTGAGAAATAAACTTCCTTGACCCACACGCGCACCTTGAGGCTGAATGAGCTGAGTCTACTTAAACTGGCGTCTCCGTTAAGGCAAGTGTGGACAGGTCGGGTTGGATGTAATGGTGTCCCGTCCAAGAAGAACTGGATAGTTAACTTTTGGGGACGTGGGACTGGGATTCAGTGAGGAAAGCAGGGGAGAGGATTAAAAATCTGTGTTGAACTGGAAGACATTATGCTGGGTGAGAGAAGTTCATCACAAGGAAAGGGGAACTGTAGTAGGATCTCGCTTATATAAAATGACAAGAAGAGGTATGCGTCGTGAGCCCAAAGCTTATGAGTGCCTACCGGGGGCAAGAAGAAAGGATAAAAGGTTAATGGTGGCGGTAACATCACATTGCCTGAGAGTAGTCATTGCTGTCAGTACATCGCACAACTGTCAAAGCTGAATTCGCAAAAGCTGTATTATCGATATATTACAACAACAATGAGTGACTGCTGGGGCTGCTAATGTACAACCAGCATTCTCACGGACTTGGTTTCTCGGTCTGGAAGTTGGGGGCCATGGTTACATGGAGCCTCTGGGACGCTAACTACTCAGGTAAACCAGGATGAGGTGGACACCCACTTGTCTTGAAAGCAGTCTCACACTCAGGCACGGCATCATTTTCCATTAATGGGCTTAATAACGTGTAGTGTTTCTGTTATACCTCCTACTTTGTTGTGTAGTGACCAGGGTCTTATAAGCTTGCCAACAACTATCCAAGGTATAATTGGTCACTCTTAGCCTGGAGCAACAGAGGGAAAAGGAGCAGCAGGGATAGGAGATGGGATCTAGGGTGTGGGGCTAATTGCCTCCATGAACAACAGTCTCGTTTACCAGCAGACCAAAAGAGGTAGGTGGTGCCCAGCTACCATTAACTGAACATGTCCATCAAAGATTCAATAGAAGAATCCTGATCAAAGGGGGGGAAACACAGAACAGAACTTCAAATTCTCCATAGCAGACTTCCTAGCACCATGTGTATCAGATGAACCCTTGAATCTGTTTCCCTGAGATAGTCTTGAAACTTTAAACCAAAACCACCCCCCGAAGTCTTCCTAAAACCAAGTAAGAGTCTAGCTGAACTAACCAGAAAAAAGTCCCTTCTGAGCATTAAGCTCTTTTGAGAACTATCCATATGCGATCAAACTGGCAGCAGCAGGATGAAAGATTCTCGATAAGCACTTCTCTCACTCATTGCCATCGGTCAATGCCGACCCACGGTGACCCTGGAAGGCAGGGCAGGCGTGCCTGTGTAGGCCTCGGGCTGAGTAACTGTTGACGAGAGCATTAAACCTCTCCCCAAGGAGCTGCTGCTGGTTTCCAGCTGCTGACCTGTGGACCCCAGGGCAGTGCATCACCAGGAGGCCCCCGGGGCTTCTGATGGGCATGTGAGGTCAATGCATTTAGTTTAGTGGGGAAGGAGCAACCTAGAAGGAGACCAAGAATGGTGCCCCACTCAAAGAACAGACTCAAAGTCCCCAAATGACATGTAGCAATTGGAACTGGCGGATATTGTACTCTATAGCTTCTCAACAACAACAAAATGCATTTCAGAGGAAATTCATTGAAGCAGAAAACCTTTTGACTAGTAAGTGAGAGCGATCAAAGTGTGTCGGTGGTCAGCAGGGTGGGAGGAGGAAGACACAGCACTTAGGAGACACTGAGCTGATGGGGGTGATGGAAACATTTGGAAACGGTGGCTGGTGATTTAACATCACCGAGCCGTCCAGGTGCAACTGGTTTTGTTCACAGTATATCTACCCCCATTTAAAAAACAAAAAGCTGCGGGTCGGGGAACATCTAGTTTGAGGGGAGAGTGGAAGCCATGAGGATGAAGGAGACAGAAAAGAGCAGAGGGCGAGAGAGAGCCTTAGGAGAAGGGAAGGGAGACGGCCAAGACTGCAAAAGAAAGGACGCCTCCAAACACGGAAGGGAGCTTTGGAGAGAAACATTTTCCAGAAGCGGTGTCATTTTGACAGCTATCTCTAAGAAGGACCTTGGTCACGTTGGTAAGTGCACCGCCCCTCCTGACCTGCCTCTCTGACCCTCCTCTCCAGGCTGTGAAGCTCCACGGGGCTGTGGACATCCTGGTCTCCAACGCCGCTGTCAACCCTTTCTTCGGAAACCTGATAGATGCCACAGAGGAGGTGTGGGACAAGGTGCGAGGGGATTCAGCCTCGGGGAGCTTTCAATGCGCACTCAGTCTGCTTTTAAAATGCATGTGCCTCATGCAATACAGACGTGAGGAACCATCACGGTGTGTGTCCCACACCCCACCCAGTAAAGGGGAGTGGGCAGGGCTTCTCTTGGCTTTCTCCCGCTGCCCTCCCTGCACCCTCCTCCCAGCGTGCTTGTCCACGCCGCTCCTCCTGGTCTCTTTCCAGCGCATGCATGGCTGCCAATCTGCCGATCGTTGATACACTCATAAACATACACACACCCATCCATCCCCTTTTCAGCTGCTAGGGGAAAAAAAAAGACTTTTCATTAGCTGGGAAACTTAATGAAAACAGCTGCAAACACAAGCGCTGCCATCGAGTCCAGTACGGGGCCCAGGCCACTCAGCAACATAGGAATTCTAGGGACATGACGGAAGTTGCCGCTTCATATAACTTACTGCCTGTGAAAAAGCCCTGCCTTTTCCTTCTCAACTGCAGTGCCGGGAAAATTGAAGACCCAGATGTCTGCATTTGGGTACTGGATACTGGGTTCTGTTTGAACAGGTAGAATCTGTATTAGATTTCCAATATAGTTCACACACCTACGTTCTTTCACGATAAAGCCTTAATTAAAATCTTGGTTTACTAAGGTTGACATTCCCACATGCTTTGGGAATGCTTCATTTTGTCTGCCCTCCCATGGTTTCGTATTTACTCCAGGGGCATCCATCGTTTTCCAACACAGAAGGTTCTTTTCTCACTGCCATTAAGTCAGTTCTGACTCATAGAGACCCTGTAGGACAGAGTAGAATTGCTCCTGTGAGTTTCTGAGACACTTGACTTTTTAGGACAGTAGAAAGCCTCATCTTTCTCTTGCGGAGCAGCTGGTGGGTTTGAACTACAGACCTCGGGTTAGCAGCCCTGTGCCACCAGGGCTCCACCCACTGGCGTTTAAGGATACTAAAATATGATAGTTTATCAGAGTCACAGGCATAAACACAAAGGGCCAAAATGCTCTTCCGTGATCAGTTCCTGATTCTGATATTCTTTAGAGAAACTTCATTTATGAACAGTCTGAATGAACACCACATGAAAATCAGTTTTAAGTCAAATAATTCTTCTTGATCGTTTGTAATATTTTAAAAAGATCCCATAATATCAGTACTTTAGGGAGAATTGAGAAATTTCTTTTACTAGATTAAAACTATTATTACATGTTCGATTTGAGGGCTATGATAGTAGATTACGGTTGTGTAAGAGAATACTTTGTTCTTAGGATATATGCGGGAGCTTCAGAAAGTTCAAGGAGATTTTTCATTCTTTTCATTCTGTTTTTCCACGAACTTTTTTGAAGCCCTGTTGTATATGCTAAAGAATAGGAATAGAATAGTATGATATCTGGCCTTCAGTGGTTCACAGGGGGGGGGGGAAATGATATGCAGAGAGATAGAGAGAGAGAGAGATCACGTGAGCAAAGTGTGAATAACTGGTGAATCTAGGTGAAGGCTATCTGGAGAATCACGGTATATCTATTTCACATTTTCTGTGAGACTGCAGTTGTTCAAAGGATGAAGTTGTCTTGGGGACAGTGGGACTAGCCCAGCCGTCTCGAGAATCGTGTAAACAAATGTCATTTAAGTCATGGACATCAGGGTTTGTATGATAGACTATGGCCCAGCCCTCCCGGCCAAATGCCTCCTCCTGATCTTGCCTTCCAATAAGTGTCCAGCTAGCCGATCCTTCCTGGAGGGCCAAGAGCACCTCACCCCTTAATCTTCCAGGCCAAGACATGCTAGGAGCGCCCCTGCTGCCAAAGTCCGCCATTTCCCCGAGAAGCATGGCCCACTTCAGAGAAGGTCCAGAAGCAGACCCAGATTCAGCCTCTCCCTGCTTGGGGGGAACACAGAAATCCCCCTCCCAACCAAAGCAGTGCAGTGTTTGTCCATTCTGGGCGGAGTCCTACTTGGCTGGTTAGGCAACCAGACGTGCCCAGCTCCTTGCCTTGTCCCCGGAAGGAGCCCCGTGTGTCCTGTTGGGGGTAAAAGGCACTTCTCCCCAAGGCTGCTCCTTCACGTGAAAGGTCAGAGTTGGTCGCCTCGGCGATTTAAACCCCCAGACCCGAGAAACCCTGTGGCCCCCCTCGCCCCGCCTCCTCTAACTTGTTTCTCTGCGTGTCTCGATTTCAGATTCTGGACATCAATGTGAAGGCCTCGGCCCTGATGACAAAGGCAGTGGTGCCAGAGATGGAGAAGCAAGGGTACAGGGCGGAGGGATGGGGCCTGGGTGCAGGGGGTCCCCTGCGGGGCCGCGGGCCAGGGGCTATGCCGGCACCCGATCCGATTTCTTCTCTCTCCAGAGGCGGCTCAGTGGTGATTGTTGCCTCCTTAGCAGCCTACACCCCATTCCCTGTAAGAACCCCTCTCTCTGCTCCTTTCCCTCTCCCCCTCCACCCCACACCTTCCCACCCATTCTGTCACCCTAAGAAATCCTGGGCACCCTTTGGAGTCATATCACCAATTCCTCCCCACAAAACAGATGCCTTGCCTGCACAAACCCTAACCTAGGGGAGGGCTAGCCACCGGTCCCTGCCCTAATTGTGGCCCTCCCTTTCGGGAGAGGCCGTCACGACTACTGCCCTTTTGTCTAAGGATATGAACCCAGAATGAACTTGAACTAAGGGAAGAGACTGACGCATTCCCGTTTCTCTTCAGGGGCTGGGCATTTACAATGTCAGTAAAACAGCCTTGGTGGGCCTCACTAAGAACCTGGCCTCAGAGCTGGCCACGAGGAACATTAGAGTGAACTGCCTGGCGCCCGGGCTCATCAAGACCAACTTCAGCCGTGTGGTGAGGAAGGGGAGCCCTGCCATTCCCCGGGTGATCCCCGGGGGCTATCTATCTGCCTGGATCTCCCCGGGTTCTTGAGCCCTCAACCATTTCTGTCCCACCTCCTTAGGGTTTTCTATCTTCCCTTTGCATGTCAGCCACTGTCCCCAGACCAGGCGCGCGCACACACCACGCACACCTTTCTTGAAGCATAAGTGGAGGCTGAGGAATCCAGACTTGCTCAACACTTCCTTTCTCCAGAAGTGATGAGAACTGGGGAGACTGCTCCCCAGACACCCAGCAAAAGGCCTCACTGATCAGAATGAAACAGCAAAGGATGGGGGGGGAGACCGGGCCCTAAGAAGGAATAGAGAGGAAGAGAAGGAGCCTCTCTGTTTCCTCCTCTTCCACATAAAGAGACTTCGCCTAGCTTCTTCCTTCTTCCTACAGCTATGGATGGATGAGGCGAGAGAGGAAAGCATCAAAGAAATCATGCATATAAGACGGTAAGTAGGCCACGGGGAAGCCTTGGACTGATGCCGATGGCAGGCCTTGAGCCCTGACATAGCCCAGCGTTCGCTGGTCATCATCCCCACAAACAGGGCACGCTCTCCCCTGCTTCAGACACACCGACGGTACAAGTCCATACACAGTGGGCCACTGCAGAGCAGTGTGCAAGGAGTTGGCTTCCATTGCAGAAACCAGACACAAGAGCCCTGGAAGAGGCCTTGACTTAGAGGATTGCCTCTACCTTCTGAGCATCCATCACCACCAGAGACACGCAGCTTTTTCGTTCCCCTTGAATAAAAGAGTCGTGCTTCTAAAGCTCAAGTTGCTGGCTCTGCGATCACAATTAAAGGAATGAAGGCCTTTACTAACTCCAGAGCTCCCTTTGCCTAAGAAAATTGCTCTTCCCCAATGGGCTGTGGCTCTCTCCTCCCAGCTTCCTGCCTCTGCCAGTTGGCTTCGAGGCATATTCTCCTGTCCCACTCTTCTTCACCTGGTAGCTTTCAAGGACAAACGCCCACCTTTTACTTGTGCAGACACTCCAGCATCCCTCAAGCCCTCTTCAGGCCATTCGGATGTCAGAGCCATGAGCTCTGCAGCCCGCGTCACAACTCAGCCGTCAGTCGGGGTATGGACAGCCTCTGTGATGAATGGTGAATGATGTAGGCCCCTGCTCCTCCGTGCTGTGGGCACATTAGAGCCACCCAGCCAGCTTCCTGAGAGGCAGATTCTCCTTAACTCCTCCAACATAGGACCTGGCCACCTTTTGTTGTTATTAAATGCCCAGAGGGCCACAGCCTGCAGCTAGACCCTCTAAGTTTTAATCGCTCACTCTGCTATCTCTGAGGCATCCGAGGCAGTGTTCCCGCAGGATGCAGTCACTCCTACAGCCCATCGGAGTGAGCACATGCTCACAAAATGGACCGGACTCGAAGGGACAGAGGTAGACTCCTGAAGAGGCTTCTGTAGATTGAACCCGTGCGAGTGGAATCGTTCTTTATGCACACCATTCACTGTCACACACTCGCCGACACATGAGTAGTGTGCACACACGTGGTTCAAATTCTCCTAACAGGAAATAACTGTTCCCCGTGTTATCTTTTATAACTTCGGGCTTCGTGTGCTGAATTCTCTTTTAAAAACAACAGTATTTCTATATTATGATTGCAACGCATCGTGGTTTTTGCAAAGTACAGTATTTATGCTCACACACAATGGTAACGGCTTATCCTCCTGATAGCTATGTGATGGATGGGAAGCCGCTCACTGGTCCTGAAAAGGCATCTGATAATTCTTTTGTTGTTGTCGATGATGGTAGGCATCTGAGTAACAGAACCTTTGGTCACGATAGATAGGTATGTGGGAACAGAACGCTTGCCATTTCTACGATGGATAAGTCTCGAAGCAGATGTCAGTCAGTCCCTGTGGAGCAGCGTCAGAGAGCCTGACCTGTCTTGATTTTCACTCTCTTCTTTGTTTGCTGTTTCCCAGAATAGGCAAGCCAGAGGAGTGTGCCGGCATTGTGTCTTTCCTGTGCTCTGAAGATGCCAGCTACATCTCTGGGGAGACCGTAGTGGTGGCTGGAGGGGCCCCCTCTCGGCTCTGATGACCTGGGAGGAGCGCTGAGGCAGAGGCTGAACGCCAACTCCTGGCTTCCATTCTGACCTTCTGGACCAGCCTCGCCCCCCACCGCCCCTTCCCTATCATCCTGCACCCTACCTCCTGAAAATCACTTCTGCCTTGTGAAAACAAACAGCCTTCCCTGCAGTTAAGGTGTGGTCTTATCAGGACCCCGGCTGTTCGCTGTTGCCCAGGATAAAGGCGCCCCCTGAGAATGCAGGGCAGGCCTGCTGAGAAGGCTGAGCCTATTTGGCAAAGCCAACCAATTCTTTTTTTCTTGTTCTTTTTCCTTTTTCTGGGCATCTGGGGAATTTGAGAGGAGATGAGAGGGAAAGAACCTGGATTGCCAGCAGTGGAGTTGGAAATTAACAGCTTGCAAATAAGATGCAAATAAAATGCAGATGATCATGTTGCTTTGAATCCACGTATCCCTTTTTCTGTGCAGGGTGCTTGGGGTGGTAGCTGGGCGGAGAGAGCACCCAGGTGTGGAGCAGGCCAGATCTCCACCCCTCTAACTCCAAGATCTGAGTGCGACGCTAAGGGGTGGGGGTGTCAGCCAAGCCGCCAGCTGGGAGGAGGTGGCACGGGAACTCCC